ATCCATCCATCCATCCATCCATCCATCCATCCATCCATCCATCCATCCATCATCTTTACCAACTTCTTCCTTTTTGGGTCGCACCGTCTCATTTTACTACAAAATGTGTCATTCAGAGTACGTTGTTCATGTCTCAGCTCTGACCAAATTTTAGCTCAATATGTGTGAAACTGGCTGAAAGACTGCTCTTTGATTTTTCTTTTTTTTTTTGGGGGGGGGGGGGGGGTGTTTCTAACATGAGTTGGCTTTGGTGGCCGACTTGATTTGAGTTTGCTCCAAAATGTAATGAGCTGAAGAGGTACATCCAGTGATTAATTCCTAAAAGTTTTAGAAAAACCAGCTTAGTGGTTCAGAAGATTTTTACCCAACAGACAAAGTTCAAAGGTCATATAAAAACTCAGGTCTTGTGCAGTGTGTTAGAGCTCCAAATATGTGTTTGGGTCAGTGTTAGCCACTAGCACAGCAAACTTTAGCTCCGTATTTGTAATACTGACTTGGTTCTAGTCAGTTTTGTGTTTGAGGGTCAGTTGGCACATCTCAGACTGGGCTGCCTGAAAACTTCACAAGATTTATTACTTTCTGAAAGTTTTCTTACAATCTGTCCAGTGCTTTGTGAGATCATTTGCTAAAGCTATGGACAATTGTGTAGCTACAAACATAATCGCTCTCTGAGCCAGATATCATATCCACTTGGGAAATTCAAATGAGCTCCCAGTGCAACTGGAGGAACAAGTTGTTTCCTTCCTTCCTTTGTTTATTTAGCACTCCTCTGCTTCACAAGCTGTCTGAAGCGTGCTTTGTGTTAGGACAGATGATGCAGCACATGCAACATTCTTGTTCTAACACTTTTATCTTTTGTGCATTCAGATAAATAATAACTTTATCAGCAACAAACCTAAGTTGTCACTGCACAGTTGTAGGGATTTAAGCGTGGCTCAGGAGAGCACTGTCCATGGCTGGAACAGGTCTACACGGTACCTGACTGAAGGAAGCACGTCTCTGTACGAGTCCAGAAGTCCTGTAAGGTAAGAAGTCATCTGAGTTGGGATCAGAATCTGAGTTTGTCAGAGGCAGAGACTTGAAGCTGACCCCTGCTCAGCTCTCAACTGTCTTCATTGCTAACTATTAACTCAGTACAACAGGTTAACCTCGACTATATTTAAACGGTGCCGTTTGAAATACTTTACTCTGGTAGCTTTCCAGATGTTCATATAAAATTCAAAACTGAGGGTATGCACTCAGAAAGATCTCATCTGCTACAAAAATCATGTAGAGCTCAACATGTCTGACCTGCGTCGGTCTGTGCACGTTAACAAATATGAAATCAAACAAGCATCGGTTCTTTGAGAAGATGCTGAGGTGGAACTACGAGGAGTGACTCTGCTCTAAACTTATTCATCATTTCTACTAACGTTTATTTAACCTAACAGATCCCTGAGATCATATTCAAGAGAGGCCAGCGCAACATGCATGTTTCTACACTGGGGGAGGAAACCACACAAACACGAGGAGAACATGCACACGGAACAGCCCCAGGTCCAACCAGGAATCGAACCTGGAACTTTTTGCAGTAAGCTAACAGTGCTAACCACTGAGCCGTCATGCTGCCAGCAAACTACAGCCTGGATTATTTGAAAAGTGGCATCTCATGGTGCACCCATACTATTTAATCTCATTGGTTATATTCTCCCTGAAAAACACACAAACACAACCTGTTTCCAATCCAGTTTACCCTTGTTGTTGTTGTTGTTGTTGTTGTTGTTGTTGTTGTTGTTGTTTGTTGTTTCAAACCAATCTGCACACTTTATTTAACACATCTGAGTGTAGACACGTACCATCACATGAACCTGCCACACTTCATCCCAAATGGAATCGTCATTAGTGACCTCCTCTCGTTTCAGCTGTTTTGGTAGATAAAGAATCTGTGCATGTGCTCTGATGCTCCTCGTGGTGCCAAAACAAGAGGATTCTGTCATTTCACTTGAATTTTGTGCAGCAGTTGAGGTCAGCAGGATCCATGACACAGTTTCATCTAAATAAAAATCAGATGGAGGATTTCAAATTCGAGCAGGAAAGCATTGTCCGTCAGGAGAGACGCGTGCGTTGTAATCTGAGATGCTGCCTTCTGTGTTGTGGAAACCAGTTCCATGCTGGAAGATTAGCTCATTCTACGTGAGCTGCCAAACCGATCCATCTGCAGTCAAAGTATCTGTTAGAAAACAGGAGGAAACAAGCTGTGTTTTATTAAAAATGGTTAAAAACATGTTGTAGTGGTGAGTTGAGTGGATTTGTTGTGTTGCTGGTTTTGCAACATCTGCAGCTTCCAGGTGATGCTTTTGCAGAAAGTTAGGCCTAAATAAAAACAAAATGCAGTAATTCACAACTCCTATAAATCATGTTCATAATGGAACATGGTAAAGTGAACAATTGCTGCCAGTTAGAAAAGTTTGTAGAGAGCAGGTTTACAACACGCCTGCTTCTTTAACAACAGTCTGTAACGTCCGGGACCTGAGGAGAGCAGCTGTTCAAGGGGAACGTTGTCTCACTCCTGTCTGATGCAGGATCCTGGACCTTTGCAGGCCTTTTCTTTCATGATGTGTCAAATATTTTCAATTAGTGTGAGGTCTGGACTGCAGGCAGACCAGTTCAGCACCTGGACTCTTCTCCCATGAGCTCATGCTGTTGTAACGAGTGCAGCATCATCTGGGTGAAATATGCAAGACCTTCTTGAAACCGACGTCTGGATGGGAGCACATGTTCTAAAACCTGTACATACCTTTATGGTGCCAGTCCACATGAGCAAGCTTTCCATGTAGGTGGCACTAATGCATCTCTATACCATTAGAGAGGCAGACTATTGACTAACAGGCTGACTGTTCCATCTCCTCCTTCATACAGAGGATGTGGCGTGCACGGTTAAAAAAACATCTACTTTTAATGTTTTTGAAATTCTGTCCAATTTAAACGAGCTTTGGCTCAAAGAGGACGGCACCATCTCTGGATGGTGTTCACTTATAACTTCTTCTTTGCATGATCGAGCTTTACCCAGCGTTTTAGGATGGCTGTGCTTTCAGACATGTCCCTGAGTCCATGCGGTGCTGTCCAGAACAGAGTGGGACCTGTTTGTCTGAAGATCACAACATATAACACTGACTTTCAGTCTGTCCTTTGAGCTCCAACATTTCTAGATTCCTTGAATCTTTTCATGTTGTTAACAACTATAAGTGATTCAAGGACGTCACATATTTCTGCTGAGGACCATTCTGAGAATGTCCCTCTACTTTTGGATGTGTATTTTCACAGACTAGTAAACCTTTGCTCATCTTTACTTCTTTGAGGTTCAGCCTTTTTATAATGTTCTTTTAATGTCCAGTCCTCTATGTCTCACTGGTCTGTTGACAATTCACTTAACGTGTTACAAAATGCTCCTTAAAACTAGTACCACGAACTTTTGTGCCCACCTTTTTTAGATCTGCTGTTGCCATCAAATTTAAATTAATCTTTTTTACTAAAATGCTCCTAAGAGTGCGGCCCCTTATTCTTTAGATAG